CTCTCTGAGAATGCCGGTTTTGATTAGATTTATAGACTTTCCCCCCTGTGGCATGACTTCTCTGAAAGACAATAATGTCAGAATTTTATTTAAAGCCTGAACCACACTGATTTTTCTGATCAATTGTATTGTATAACAGCCTGGCAGTCTGAGATCTGGGGTATGGTCACCGACATAACCTAGTGGATTCTAAGCAATTTGTGGGCCTCATTTTCCTTATGAGTATTTAAACTCAGATAATATTAACAGTTTTGTATACATTTTGGGAATTAAATAAAAACTTTAAAAGAAAAATTTAATAAAATCAGAAAATTGGGCTAATTTCCCCCATATATTCTCCAGCATGCAATTAGTGTACAGATTGTAATGCTTTTCTTATCATGGCCGGCCAGGGAGGTGACCCACATGGCGCAGCAGACCTCTTCTCTCTCACCCTGTCCTCCCTCAGCAGTGTATTTCAGTCAGTCTGCCTGTTCTGTTCCCCACTTTGTCTCTGGTGAATCCCCCACCCCCGCACCTCTGGCTTACACCCCAGTTCTTGTATGCATAAATAAATCTTTTTAAAAAATCCCAAACCAAAACCTCTAGTATGGCGTCACCGTCTCCCCTCAAGTTTGTGCACTTCCCTTCTACAGACTATCGCAGAAGGTGCTCAATGCTCTTCACTTTCTTTAGAACTCAAGAGCTCCCAAGATGGGAAAGAAATGCCAACTCAGGTTATCCCTTCTGGAAAACGAAGACGAAAGCAGGTCCCTGTGGAGGAAGAAATCCCCGCGGGACTCTCGCCCCCCAAACCTCATGCTTCCCTCCTCTGGCCCCTGGGTCCCGCAGCACCAACCCTAAGCAGCTCGAGGAACCCACTCCATCAGGGCGCGCGAGGCTAGTCTCCTGCGCGGTGGCCTGTAGCTCCACTCCCGCGCACCCCTGGGAGGCTCACGAGCGCGCACAGCCGGGGGAGCGCGCACAGCCGGGGGAGCGCGCACAGCCGGGGGAGCGCGCACAGCCGGGGGAGCGCGCACAGCCGGGGGAGGGCCCCGCGCCGTGCGCTTGCAAAGCTCTAGGAACGCGCAAGCCAAAGAGGCCCGCGCGGGAACGGAGCTTTCCCCCCCTGTCGGACAATGGTGGAACAACAGGGCTTGGGGGAAAGGTGTTGGCGCTTGGGGGAGAGGTGGGTGCCAGGCATTTTAGTGGATTAAGCTAGGGAGGATCTTTACATCGTTTGAGCCCTGACCTCGTTTTGCGGCACCTCCCTTCTTTCCCAAGCCTTTCTTTCCAATTTAGAAAAAGGGCAGGCACCAACCTTGAGCTCCTGATATGTGCTGGGCCCTTCACTAGTGTTGTGTCATTAAATCTTCCCAACAGTTTCATTGGGTTATGACAGAGAAGGCGGTATCTGAGGCCATAGGGTAACACATCTGACCCAGAGTAACACAGCTCATATGTGAGGGGCCTGGGACTCAGGTCTGTACTCAAAAGGTTGACTGCAGCCCTGACCTGTTGGGGATGGGGCCCTGGACTTGGGCAAGAGAGCTGCTTCTCCTCACTAGTCAAGAAGGCTTTGTAAGAACACCCAGAACAGCTTTTTAAAGCTTGATTGGTAGGCATGAGAACTTTTTAGGCTAGTCCATGGATCAGGATATCAGGCAGGAACCTAACTACAGCCTAGAAGGAATGGGATCTCAGGGGAAGATCCTCCTAGGTATCTGAAACTACAGTCCTCCAGGGATTAAGGGGATTGAGGGAGAGCATGAGAAAGGAACTGAAGGAGTTGAGGTGGAAATCCCCTCATATCAGGACACTGCAGGTTAATGTTGCTCCTACCACTATGGAATTGTTTCAGGATGAGAGTGGCAGTTTCTACAATGCCCAGCTGCTGACCAGACTTTCAATGAAACAAGGCTACCCAGGTGATGCCACTGTCTCTCTCCTCTTGCTTTTCAAAAGAGACAGAAGTATGAAGGGGGCTCCCTGGTGGCGCAAGGGGTTAAGTCTCAGCACTATGAAGCCATCGGCAGCCACTATGGCATGAGTTCGATCCCCGGCCAGGGAGCTGACCCACATGGCGCAGCAGACCTTTCCTGTCTCACCTCCTCCTCCCCTCAGCAGTGGATTTCAGTCAGTCAGCCTGTTCTGTTCCCACTCTGTCTCTGGTGAATCCTCTCGTCCTCCCGCACCTTTGGTCTACACCCCAGCTCTTGTATGCATAAATAAGTAAAATAAATCTTTTTTAAAAAATAGAGACAGAAGTGTGGAGGAAGTGAGAACTTGTCTAATGAGGCAGAGGCTGCTGGCCTTTGACCTGGACAGAGGTGAACACTAATATACAACCCACTTAAGTATCCAGTAGTGTGGGCAGAGCTGAGTACAGGGCTACGGAGATAGCCTGTGAGTCAACTTAGATTAGGTAGGATGCTAAGCCAGCCTGCTTTGCATAGTGTTCCCCAAAACTCTACTGGTACAGGAAGCAGTACCTCAGTTACAGCCAGGGTTTCAAAGATTCCATGTGAAGGAATAAGGTGATGGTGCAGTCTGTGATTTTTCAGGAGTGGTAGATTTAGGAAGAACCTACACACGGTCCACCTGAATTAAAATGTCATCAAGTAGCTACTGATATGGAATCTTTAAAAGGGAAGAGAACAATTTCAAACCAAATTAGAAAGCTTGGAGTTAGGAAGTTAGGAACACAGAACGGTTAAGACTTTAAAAAAAAAAAAGTATTGGGGTTTCCAAATGTATTCCAAATGAAAGAACAAAAAGTCCAAATGAATAACTAACAAAGGGGAAAAAAGAGGGCTCCAAAGAGAAAAAGGAAAGCAGACTGTATTTCCAAGGAAACCAAGGGTGAAATTATAGAAATGTCCAAATTGAGTGAGAAAATAGGCAGATTATCTGGGGCGACTTCTGCTCATGATTCTGGAGATCCCCAAATAGTAGGTCTCACTTCTTCACAGGCAACTTTGAGGGAAGACCAGAAACAAGGGACAGACTTAGAAAAATACCTGAGACCTCACACATGAGCAGAAGGTAACATGACTTCTAGCAGGACAGGTGGGATCCGACAACCGAAGGCAAGAGGTGGAGTCTGGGCCTCAGGTAAATTGACCCAGGTTGGGATCCTACCTTTCTCTCTAAAAAATTCTAAGATTTTGGCAGTTCATGAATTTATTCAAGCCTCAATCTTCCCATCTGAAAAAATAAGAGACAAAAAGTGACCTACGTAACAGCGTAGAGGATGTCGTGTATATAGAATACTAGCATGCAGCCTAACTAAGATATAGCAGGCACATCTCTGAATAAAACCTAGAGTTCGTCCCTTTTTTAGATTGGCTTGGGAGAAGTGGGTAAAGAAAAAAGTAGTTATAACACGCATTTAGATAAGGCAGTCTTAAAGGGAAAATAATCCAGCAGGATTTTAAATGAGAGCTATCTTTCCCATCTCCACTCCCACGGCATTGTCTGCAAAACACAGCTTGCTCTGACCTGTAGAGCATTTGGTATTCTATCATCTTCTTGCTCACATTTAGTCTTCTCCACCAGATTATAAACAGCTCAAGTAAACACTGTGGCCAAACTATCCATTACATAGCAGATCTTGGGTCACCTCAACAGGTCCCTGAAGTCCTGGCCGTCAAAGATGCCCATATAAAGGGAGGCGGCATGAGGGTAGGGAAACCAACGGTTAAACCTAATCGTGCTCTTGCCCAGAGCAGGGGGCTGACTGCAATTGGGATGTCTGGGGTGCCTGTACCCCAAGACTGCCATCAGGAAGGTGTGGAAAGGCAGCTCAAGTTTTAAGTGGGTGGAAGTGTTTTTCTCAGCACAGAATGAAAACATGGAGATTCCAAAGTTGGCAAGGTGAAGGCAGAGCAGCCTTTCCACAGGGTGCAGTGTGGGCGTGCCCCTCCCGCCAGAACAGTACAAGCAGCAGGCGGCACCCTTCTTGAACAGTCTCGACACAAAATACTTGGAGTTCTGAATGCACCTGCCAAAAGGCCAGAAACACGGACGGGATAAAAACACGTCTGACAGGATAAGGCCTGGGGAAATAGTGGTGATTTGGGGCACCTTCTACAGAATTAATTTAATGAAGCAGAACCCCACATTCCTCTATTTCTTAGTAGAAACAGCTAATCCAGTGCTGACAGGCTAATATTCTCTCTCCTCTCATCTTTTCCTCTCCTTGGCCCAGAACAATGACCATGGTGTTGGCAGCAGAGGTGGACACAGAGAAGCAAAAATGAAAGGAACAGAACAAACATAAGCTGAAGAGGGGAGACATGATTTAAAAAGATTAAGTAATGGGCCTCCCGGTGGTGCAAGGGGTTAAGACGCAGCCTATGAAGCTGTCTGCAGCCTCTGCAGCACGAGTTTGAGTTCGATCCCCTGGCCAGCCAGAGAGCTACCCACATGGCGCAGCAGACCTCACCTGACTTGCCCGTGGCTCCCCTCAGCAGTGAACTTCGGTCAGTCTGCCTGTTCTCTCTCTGGTGAATCCTCTCATCCCCCACATCTCTGGCCTATACCCCTGTTCTTATACGCATAAATGAATCAATCTTAAAAAAAAAAAAAAAAAGATCGGGCCTCCCTGGCAGCGCAGGTGGTTGAGCGCCACACTGTGAAGCTGTCCACAGCCTCTGCAGTGCCAGTTCGATCCCTGTCGTCCTCGGAGCAACCCACACGGCGAGCAGACCTCTCCTGTCTCACCTGTCGCTCCCCTCAGCAGTGTAATTTGTCCGTCTGCCTGTTCTGCTCCCTGCTCTGTCTCTGGTGAATCCTCTCACCCTCCCACGCATCTGGCCTGTACCCCAGTTCTTGTATAAATAAAATAAATCTTAAAAAAAATAAGATCAAGGAAAAATAACCGTTCTTATATTTAACTGGGTGGTGACTGTGGGTGCACACACATGTAAAACTCCACGGAGACACACGTGAGATCTGTGCATGTTACTGATGTCATCTGCACCGTCATTAAGAAACAAAACCAAACCACAGCCACAAGCTCCTGTTTGCTATCCTTTATTGAAGGATCCCACACCCACATGGGACCCTGGCCACACCAGAAACCAGAAAGATCCCCCAAATATAGTAGGAGGCCTGAAGGGGAGGGGAATGACTCACGATCCCACCACACTGGAAACAGAAACCCACCACGGACAGACAGACAGACAGACAGGGGCAGGGAGGAGAACTTGCCTCACTCTTGGTTCTCTCCCCTTTGCCCCCACTTCAAAAGAAAGTCAAACACTGGCTACGTAGCACCCCAGCCCCCCACCCCACCCATAGCAGCGTTTGTGGGACCTCCCCCTCTGCAAGGGGTGGCCCCAAGGCAGCTTCTTATCACTCTTCCTTCACTTTGGTTTGCTCCTGGCAACTCCGTGCCCCTTTCCTTCCTTCCCTCCTTCCTTCCTTCCTTCCGCCTCCAGCCCAGTCACCCCTTCGTCTTTTATCACCTACTCGGACCTTCTCTCTCATCTCCAGGGCCTCCCTGCCCCAGGGCTTCTGGGGAAGCAGTGTCTTGGGAGCCTTCTCTCCTCCCAGTAAGGGGCCCCACCAGGCCCTCTCTGCCCAGGACATGGGATTCACATGGCCGCCCCGCTCTCCTTGAGGTCAGGGGCTGAGCGCTGCCGTCTCATTCTTGGGGGAGTAGTGTATGGGGGGTAGCGGGGTCCTGGGGGTCGCTGGGCTGGGTATGGTTGGGGCTGCTGGGGATAATAGTTGTGCTTTTTGGGCTGGAAATGCTGGGGATCGGGCTGTGTGGAACCCCCTCCCCGGGATCTGCCCCCTCCGTCCAGGGAGTTCCTGCGGGGACGGTGGGACCTGCGGGGACTAGGGGGCCTTCGGGCAAGGGGGGCAGGAGGAGGAGGAGGAGTGACTTCCTCAGGGGGTTGGGGTGGAGCTGGGGTCTCCCCACCTCCCATCCCTGGCCAGGACTCCCGGTGCTGTGGGTTGCTTTTAAAGGGGAAGCGCAGTTTGCAGTCGTGAGGGGGCACAAAGCGGGCGGGGGGCCTGCGCAGTCCCCCACCCCGGCCCCCAGCGCCCTGCAGTCCCTGAAGCCGCAACTGCTCCTGTTTGAGCCAGCGAAGGCGGCCTCGACGGAAGGCAGGGTCTTCCTCCATCAGCCGAGACACCCGCTCCCAGCTTGACAAGGGTGGCGAGGGGGGCCGGGCTGACGGCACACGGTCACTGGGGCCATCTTCCTCAGCCTCTGACCCTTGGGGCATAGCCCAGGTGGCCTCACTGGCTTCTTCATCCTCATCCTCATGATCCTGAGAGGGAGAAGTGGTGAGAGAGGAGAAGGGGTGTGAGGAGAGCTGAGTCTTGAGTACAAGACAATTCAGAAGAAGTTAGAAGGCCCTGGAGCAGCTGGGTATCAAGGAGCCCCAAGTCAGGCTTGAAAATAAGGGGCTAGAATAGTGATTTAGGGGCACAGGCCTGGGAAACCAATAGTGTGAGGTCAATCCTGGCCTGCCTGCCACGTTCTAGTTGTGTGTCCTGGATCTTTGGCTTATAACCTCTCTGTGCCTCAGTCTACTCCTGACATCAGTAATAATAGTACCTACTATATAGGGTGATTGTAAGACTTACAAGAAAACCATGTAAAGTATTTAGAACAATGCCTAGCACATGGTAAGCTTTCACTAAATTTTTTTTTTTAATCTTTTTTTATTTTTTTTTTTTCGAGTCAGGGTCTCACTATGTTACCCAGGCTGGAGTACAGTGGCTATTCACAGGCACAATCGCACTACTGATCAGCATGGGAGTTTTGACCTGCTCTGTTTCCAACCTGGGCCGTTCACCCCTCCTTAGGTAACCTGGTGGTCCCCCACTCCCGGGGGGTCACCATATTGATGCCGAACTTAGTGTGGACACCCGATCAGCATAGCGCACTGCAGCCCAGAACTCCTGGACTCAAGCGATCCTCCTGTCTCTGCCTCCCAAGTAGCTGGGACAACAGGTGTGCGCCACCACGCCTGGCTAAATATTTGTTAAATAAATGACGTTCCCAGTGGACACAGCAGTCAACAAAGGGAAGAAAAATCCCTGGAATCATTTTAGTGGGGTGAGACAGTTGATAAATTCTTAAGAAAAAGATATAGTATGGGACACATGTCATATACTTCAATGAAAGTTAAATGTAAGTACATACATTTACAATATTTAACATACATTATAAGTATTTATTAACTTAGCATCTATATTAGATAGTGTACCTTATATAAATACATATATACAGATGGAGAACAGAGCAAGGGAGGGATAGAGGACCAGGGTAGAGAGTCTGCAATAAATGAACAGAAAGGGATTCACTGAAAAGTTATTATATATTTAGTAAATACCTGAAGGAAGTGACAAGCAAGCTCTAAGGCTATCTGAAGAAGAGGGATTCTATGCGGCGGGAACAACAGGTACAAAGGCCGTGAGGTAGGAACATACCAACAAGTTCAGGAACAAAGAAGCCTGAGGTGAGCAAGGGGAGTAGGAGCTGTGTTCACAGATTTAAGCCTTCAATAATCATGAACTATTGTTAAGAAGGGCTTTCTGTCACCTCCTTGCCCTAAAGAAGGCGAGCTGTTATAGAGCAGAAATTCTGTCTGCTGTGTGGCCAGCACAGTGTCTAGCATTACAGGAACTCCAAGGTTTACTTGTAGAGTGACTACATATAAAACAGAGACGGTGATAATACTATCACTCACAAGGCCACTGTGAGTGTTTGAAGTGACACAGAAAAAGCAGTGGGCACAGGATCAGCCATGGGAGAGGTTCAGGTTATGAGTGGACGCGAGGTCATTTTTTGAGTGGTAACAAAAATTGTGCATGTTGTACCAATGATTTTTGAATTTTACTGTCCTTCAGAAACACATGGTACTTATACATGCAGATTCATCCCCAAAGAGGCTGAATCAACTGGTCTGGGGTGGATCCCAGGAATCTGCATTTTTAAATAGAGTCCCGCTGATCGTGAAGCAGGTAAGTCACAAACTATAGCCACAAAAATTGTATTATGCTTCAAGAAGATTTTTTAAAGGAAGAGGGGGAAGGAGGTTGGAATTTATAACAGGAGATTCAGACTGCTGAGCAGCAGAGCAGAAGCAGAGAAGAGGGAGCTCCCTACCTGAGTCAGGGGAATGACCCTCTCCATGCGGAGCATGCGGTCCCTCAGGGCCTGCAGCTCGCGGTCCTTGGTGCTGTTCTGCAGCTTCACCTCCTGCAGAATCCCCGTCAGCTTGTCGATGTGAGCCCGGAGGTCCTCCACCTCTGCTCCTCGGGCTCCCTCCTCACCACCGCCACCTCCACTTCCACCTTCTTCCTCGCCCACGGTGTCCCAGACATCCCGGGCCACGGCCCTCCAGGCATCTCCAGGACCCTCAGGCTTGCCGTAGGTGCGACACAGCTCCCGCATCTTGAGGGCGGCCAGGGCCTCGATCTCAGCCCGCCCATGGCGGAAATCGGCCAGGGCCACCTCATAGCAGATTTCCTTTACTGCCTGCATCTTCAGGTCAGCCATGGTGGCCCAGCGGGGGTCTTTGCCCTGCAGTCGCCGACGCTGTGGGATCTGATACACCCTCCGAGGGGCCCTCCGCTTGCCGCTGCTGGGAAGGCCACAGCGTTTGACAATGGTCTGGACCGTGGTGGGGGGCAGCTGCTCCCTCAAGGAGGAGATGAGTCGCCAGCTCTCTTCACAGGAGCGCTTGTCGGAGTCATCCCCACTGTCAGAGTCCGCATACTAGGGCCAGAGAGAGGTCAGGAGAGGACTGAGCACCTCACTGTGACACCAGAAACACCATGAGAACCGCGCAACCCTGCACAGATGGCTTAACCTCTGCTGTCTACACACAGCAGACAGAGCTGCAGCACCTCCCTCGGATACACTCTGAGGATTAACATGTGCCAAGTGTGTAGAACAGGGACTGGTGCAGAGAACGTGATCCATAAGTGTTATCTGTGGCATTTCTAGTCTAGCTTTCTTGCCTTTATACTATTGCTCAGGATGAGGTTACAGATTTAAAAGTAAGTAATAGCACAGGTGATACCTGAATATGGTTAAAACACACCAGGCCATACAGGATGGACTCAAGTCTGGGAAGCCCAGGTCAATTTGAGGGGAACTAGCTCCCTACATACACTTTCCTCTCCAAGTCACATTCCCTACTAATGGCTTCCTCCTTGACACCCATGCTATCCCTCATCCCCATGCCCCCTTCCCATCTGGCCCAGGTGACAGGAACCAGAAGTGGACTCAGGCAGAAGCGCTGCCTGCTGGGCTGCTCATGGGCCCACCACCCATCTCCTGCCAACTCCTCACCAGCCGTTGCTGTTCCAACAGAAGATCAGCCTCTTCCTTTTCTTTCCGGTACTGATTCTCCAGATCCTGCAGCCTGGGGTTGGGTAGGGAAGGGAAGAAGAACCATGTGGTTTCTAGAACTACCTCAATGGGGCATCTGACACTGAGGGCTGGGACCTGGCAGGGAGGGCCCCAAGAACGCCAGGGTGCGGGATCTGCTCCTCATACCTCTTCTCCATCTCCAGCTTGATGTCAATGCCTTGCTGCTCCAGCAGTTCCTTCTGGGCAAAGTTCCAGTCAACGGGCTCGGAGGGCGGTCCTGGGGGTGGGGGGACCCCTCGCTCCCTTTCCAGGCGTGCCTGCTCCGGGTGATTGAAGCGGAAAACGTGGTTCTTGCCCATCACAATCCTATTCCCTGCAGACCGGAGGAGGGAAAAGTGGACTCGCTCCCTTACAGCAGCAAACCCACGCCCAAGGGGCAAAGGGTCTTGTGCACAAGTCCCGACACCATTCCAAGTCTGAGGGCAGTCAGAGCCAAGGTTTCCCCAGCTGCCTAGGAAGCACCCGGTCCCTGACAGCCAAAGGGAACAAGGGAGCTTGCCATTCTCTTCCTGCTGCCCTGGGATAGCAAGTGAAACCAAAACCTGAATCATAACCTTCACTGCCCGGTTCCTTTTGCATATCCTGTACTGTTTCCTATTTATTTCTGGGTCCTGTCCCAGGAGTCACCCAGAAAGGTCTGCCCCAGGACTTCCCACACGCAGCATGACCAGAACCCTCACCCCACAGCACTTCTTTTACCTGACTTCAGCACCTGTGGCTCTGTGACCAGTTTCCCATTGACGTAGGTCTCGGCTCCTTCACAAGGCTCCAGGGTGACCACCACTAAGGCAGGGAGAGAACAAGGGGAGTGCTTAGACCCTGGAGGGGAGAGGGGGGTGATGGTCACAGATTCCCACTTTGCATTACCCCCAGAACCATACATGCACCCTCAGTCCCACCCCCCCAGTACCTGTCCAGGGTGCCATGGCCCCTCTGGTGGCAGGCAGCACAGGAAAGGAAGAGCAGAAGGAGGGTTAGAGCCCCAGCTACAATCCTCAGGCACCTCTGCAGGGGCTCCCTACTCACCCACCACCACCCTCTTCATCAGCGGCTTGGGAAACCAGCAATTCTCAAAAGACTGCTTCTCATGCCCAAATGGTCACCATGTCCTCCAGAGTTCCGTTCCTTCCTTTCCAACTAACACTATTCCTGGCTGGACCTGGATTCCTCCAGCAGGCTCCAAGCCCACTTCTGTCTGACACATCCTGCAAACTGCCAGCTGGGTACTCTCAAGCCACAGCCAAGAGACCTGTCCTCATAGGACAAGATAAAGTCCACCCTACCAAACACCTCATGCCCCTCCATACAGGTCATGGAAACCAGTGCTGGCTGGGACACACGCTGCCTGAGGCCTCAAGGAGCAGTGCCCCGCTGGCAGAGGGACTCCTATCTTCAAAAGGCTCTGCCACTCCTTAGCTGAGAGACACTGAGCTAGTAGTGACCTAACTTCTGTGAGTGTCTATACAACAGGATAATGAAGTCTTTCTTTATAGGCTTAGGTAAAGTGATATATAAGAGTAAGATTTTGCTATTTATCTTAAAAACAATAAAGTCAAAATGAATTTTAGGGCCTCCCCGGTGGCGCAGCGGTTGAGCGCTGGGTTGTGAAGCTGCCTGTGCAGCTTCTGCAACGCCGGTTCAATCCCCGGCCACCAGGTAAGGGTCCCACATGGAGCGCAGACCTCTCCTGACGCCTGCTGCTCCCCTCAGCAGTGTACTTCGTCAGTCTGCCTGTTCTACTCTCCGCTCTGCCTCTGGTGAATTCTTTCACCCTCCCGTGCTTCTGACTGTACCCAGTGCTTGTATAAATAAATAAAATAAAATCTTAAAAAAAAAAGAAGAAGATTTCAGTTAAAAAAAAAATGAATTTTAATTCACGGCAGAGAAGAGACTACTGAAGTTGTGGCAGAGAGGAACTCAACTTAGGGACAGAGAATTGCAATGATCATGGGAAAGTGGTAACTTCTAAGCCAACACTTGAGGGGAGGCGTGGATTTCAAGGAGCAAAAGTGATTAAGAGCAGGAGGATGGACAAAAAGCTGAAGCATCAACAAGTGGCTAAGAACAGCATGGAAGGGGCCTCCCCGGTGGCACAGCGGTTGAGCGCTGGGTTGCGAAACTGCTCGCGGCCTCTGCAGCACCGGTTCGATCCCCGGCCTCCGGGCGAGGGTCCTACATGGCGCGCAGACCTCTCCTGCCACCCGCTGCTCCCCTCAGCAGTGTACCTCTTCAAGTCTGCCTGTTCTGTTCCCCGCTCTGGCTCTGGTGAATTCTCTCACCCTCCTGTGCTTCTGACTGTACCCAGTGCTTGTATAAATAAATAAATATTTAAAAAAAAAAAAAAAAAAAGAACAGCATGGAAGGTGGCAGAGGAGAGGATGAGGTGGCTACAATGGGTACCAGTCTATCAACACCTCTATTTGCTACCATGCCCCAAAATTCACTCATCTAGTCCACAAACACAGTACCTCTGCAATATGCCAGGCACTATTTTAGATCCTGAAAATACAGTGGAGATAAAAACTAAAACCCCTGCTCTCAAAGAACTCACTTCCAACTGGTAACACAGACAATAAACAAGCAAATAAGCAGGTAACCTGAAGCCAGGAAGGAAATGGGTGTTATGGAGGGAAAATGGGGCCAGGAGAGGCCCGGCCAAGGCAGTCTGTCCAGGTATAAACCCACAGGGACCTGTATTAAGACGGCCTGGGGCAGAGCTCAAGGCACACTCCTGAAGTCTGCCTCGCTGCATCTGAATCTATTTCTGCCCTCTTCTAGCTCTGTGCAGACTCCCTAATCCCCAAAAGCCCCAGTTTTCTCAGGTGTGAGCTGTGTGAGAAAATGCAAAGCCACAAAGTAGATGGTCATTAAGCAGTAGCTGTTCTTCTATGTTCACACCTCTGTTAGTGCTGCCCACCTCCTCGGCCTGTCTTTGGTTGTCTGAAATCTGCTGTTAAGAACACAAGCCCAGGGCCTCCCCGGTGGCGCAGCGGTTGAGCGCTGGGTTGCGAAGCTGCCCGCAGCCTCTGCAGCGCAGATTCGATACCCAGCTGCTCCCCGGCCACCAGGTGAGGGTCCCACATGGCGCGCAGACCTCTCCTGTTGCCCGCTGCTCCCCTCAGCAGTGTACTTCGGTCCTTCTGCCTGCTCTGCTCCCCGCTCTGGCTCTGGTGAATTCTCTCACCCTCCCGCGCTTCTGACTGTATCCAGTGCTTGTATAAATAAATAAATAAATATTTAAAAAAAAAGAACACAAGCCCAAATGGACTAAATCTTTCTATCCCCCACCCTTTGGGACAGAGTCATCACAGCTGCTTTTATAGTGATTTAACAGTTCCATGCCTGTCATCTCCACAAACACTCTGAGCTCTGGGTTAGGCTCACTCCTCGACCTTGCATGGTTCTGGTGTTGTGGCAGCACATGGCTTGAGGGAACCACAGAACAGGAACTCAACAATAATTCGCTAGGCTGAACTGATTCAACCACTTGCAGGCTGCAGTGCCGGAAGCATTTGCAGCCACTAGGGACCTGAAGCAGACCAGAACGACTGCGTTAATGTGCTGACCCTGAACCAAACTGAAGCCTGACGGGTATGGCTTAAACTTAAGCTAGAAGTTACATGATAGTGACTTTTCTTATTTAAAAAAAAAAAATAGGGGTCTTCCTGGTGGCGCAAGGAGTTAAGACACAGCACTATGAAACTATTTGCAACTACTGCAGCACAAGTTCAATCCCCAGCCAGGGAGGTGACCCACATGGCACCATAGACCACACCTGTCTCACCCGCTGCTCCCCTCAGCAGTGTATTTCAGTAGATCTGCCTGTTCTGCTCCCCACTCTGTCTCTGGAGAATCCTCTCATCCCCTGCACCTCTGGCCTGCACTCCTATATACATAAATAAATGTTTTTAAAAAAATTAGGGGCCTCCCCGGTGGCACAAGGGGTTGAGACGCAACCTATGGGGCTGTCCACAGCCATTGCAGGACGAGTTTGATCCCCAGCCAGCCAGGGAGCTGCCCACATGGCGCAGCAGACTTCTCCTGTCTCACCCTCTGCTCCCCTCAGCAGTGTATTTCAATCAGTCTGCTTGTTCTGTTCCCCATTCTGTCTCTGGAGAATCCTCTCGCCCATCACACCTCTGGCCTGTACCCTAGTTCTTGTATGCATAAATAAATAAATCTTAAAAAAATAAAAAATAATGCTGACAGGGCCTCCTTGGTGGCGCAGGGGTTAAGTCCCAGTGTTATCAAGCTGTCGCCACCCACTGTAGCATGAGTTCCATCCCCAGCCAGGGAACTGACCCACATGGCGCAGTAGACCTCTCCTGTCTTGCCCACTGCTCCCCTCAGAGGCAGTGTGTTTCAGTAGATCCGCCTGTTCTGTTGCCCACTCTGTCTCTGGTGAGTCCTCTCACCCCCTGTACCTCTGGCCTATGCCCCAGTTCTTGTATACATAAATAACTAAATCTTTAAAAAATTAATAAAGATAACGCTGACCATGCAAGCCCCTCAAAGACGGCAGGCGGGTAGTTCGTCCAGATCTCTGAGACAATACCCAGGTTCTAGCATTCATGTGTGATACCTCCTGCCTCTCTGCCCAATTAATTTCCCAGAGCACAGTTCTCCTGGGCTTAAATGAACCCAAACAATTCCATTAAAAAAAAAAGAGAAAGACCAAACCAGAACACAATGGTGACACCCTGAACCACATGAGTAGTTTTGCTGGTATGTCAGGCCAGTTAGTCCTAAAAGATTTTTTTGTTACTATGGCCACACAGGGGCTAAAAATCTCTCCAAGTTTTGAAACCTGAGGGATGTTAGCCCCCAGAAACTTTTACAGTCATAGCTAGATAAATAAGCAGGTTTTCCAGAGACAGAATCAGATAATTCATTAAAATAAATACAGGTTTTCATAAAAAATCACCAGGCTGCTGATTTAAACTAAAAAAAAAAAGAAGAAAAAAAATCAAGGAAGAACCAGGGATCTTCTCCTTACCAAAGCCTTGCCCTCAGGAGAGCCATAGCGTCGTGTTTCTGCATGGGAAGCCCTGCCACACCCCGGCCCATTGCAGCAGTCTGTACTCCCAGGGTGGGCACAGATAGCTCGCTGCTGACTATGAGCTCAGAGTCCCTCTGAGGTGAGGGCATATCCCTTTCTATGACCAAACCCAGTGACCAACCCAGTGTGTAGCTTGGGACCTGAGACAGTCTCTCACTGTCTGGCCACTCCACTCTCTCCTCCTCAGCTATTACCTTCTCCATCCGGCTGAGGGATGCTGCGGAACAGACAGTGTTGCTCTCGAATGAACTGCCCGGTCAGTTTGATGTCAACATCTACCTGGCCAACCCTAGGGAAGCAATAATCAACACTTTCTGAGCATGGGTCAGACACAGGCCAAGCTCCATCTGAACACAAGTTCATCCAATTCAAAGAGCCAAGCATAAGTCTTCCGATTTTGCAGATGAGAATGTTGTGGCTCACAGAGATGAAGTCAGTGGCCAGATCAAGTGGTCTGGCAGTGGTTAAACTGGAATTTGAGCCCAGATCTGCCTGACTCCAAAGCCCATCTCCTTAGTTACTGTGTTACAGAGCAAAGGGAAGTAGGAAATAGATTATGTGCCCTCAGTCACAGGTCCCCCATGCTTCCTTAGGGTGGCTCACACTAAGGTCTCACTCCCCAACCATGATGATCACCAAGGTGCCATGTTGTGGGGGACAGTCTGTATGGCAGCTATAAATGCCTGTGGTAAGAGAGGAAGGGGCACACTTACCCTTTTGACTCCAGGAAGTGACATCAGAAACATGGAGCACTAGGTCCACAGCATTAGTCAGTGAAGCCACCTGCCCTTTGTCACCAAGTCTGCCACCAAAGTCCCCCAACAACATGGGACCAGGGTCACACTTTACTTCTCCCACTCCATCCCAGGCAGGATACCACCAAGGGATGACAAAGTAATGATGCCAGAAGCTAGGAATTCAGTGTTCCGAGTTTCCCACTGACGCCTCTGTCCCAGTAAATTAGGAGCTATCCTCAAAAGTATTGGGAGAGTTTGGTCCTGGGAAGTGTCTCACCCACAGCTAAGTGGCAGCTGGAGATGGTGACTGCTGAGCAGTCAGGCTCAGAACTTTTCAGGAAGCCTGAGGAGTAAGCATGCCAGTGAAGGCAGCTGTCCAGAGACCTGGGGTGTCTCCGTGAGGTCACCAGGAAAGGGAACCACCAGTGTAGCTGTCCCTCTGGAACCACACCCCAAAAGGAAAGCTCACCCCACAGACCACTAAGTTGATGCTACCTGGTGACGCCATCTTTGATGTGGTAGAGCAGACATTCGGACATCAGGGGGTCCTCATTCAGATTCACCAGATGGGGAGTCTGAGGGGGGAAGGGAGCAATCAGGGGGTGTTCAGCGAACACCCATCCCCTCCAAGGTTCCAGCATGCCTGCTCTCATCTCACTCTTAGGAAACACTCCCATTCTCCCAGCTCCCACTTACACCACTCACCTTGAGTGAACCACCCTATCCTCACACACAGGAGGCTTACAAAACTGCCATCCATGAAGTTCCTTCCAGGACAGCAACCCTTCCCAAGCCCCATTTCTTTCAAGGCACCTCAACCCACCAGTGTCCCTGACCAGAAGCCACCTGCTCTTGCTCTGCTTTCCCAGTACCCCTCGGTCCCCAAGCCTCATTATTACTTCCTTCAAAATGTATCTTGCGACTTTTGGAGACCAAGAGAGGAATTGGGTTAGGGTGCTAGTAATTTCCCTTTCTTTCCTTACAGCTTGAATTTCTTAGGAGCCCAGATCACTTTTATAACTACAGTTTAAAAAATAAAGTATCAGGGCCTCCCTGGTGGCACAAGGGGTTAAGTCACAGTACTATGAAGCTATCCACAGCCACCGCAGCATGGGTTTGAATCCCCAGCCAGGAAGGCGACTCACATGGCTCAGCAGACCTCTCCTGTCTCGCCCGCTGCTCCCCTCAGCAGTGTATTTCAGTAGATTCACCTGTTCTGTTCCCTGCTCTGTCTCTGGTGAATCCTCTCATCCCCTGCACCTCTGGCCTATACCCCAGTTCTTATATGTATAAATAAATAAAAATAAATCTTTTTATTTAATAATTTTTTTTAGATTTATTTATTTTTTTATACAAGCACTGGGTGCAGTCAAAAGCACGGGAGGGTGAGAGAATTCACCAGAGCCAGGACAGAGAGCAGAGCAGGCAGAAGGACCGAAGTACACTGCTGAGGGGAGCAGTGGGCGGCAGAAGAGGTCTGCGTGCCATGTGGGACCCTCCTCTGGTGGCTGGGGAGCAGCCAGGGATAGAACCGGTGCTGCAGAGGCTGCAGGCAGCTTCGCAACCCAGCGCTCAACCACTGCGCCACAGGGGAGGCCCCATAAAAATAAATCTTAAAAAAAATAATAAAGTATCAGCTGAGTTCAAAAGCAAATAAAGCAAACGAATTTCTCATAGCATACTTCCTTGACCACTGCCCTTCCCTGGACCTGCTTCACCTCGGGCCAGGGTCACTGCAGCAGCTGGGCTTCACAGAGCCTCCCTGATGGAATCTATCTTACATACCTGGCTGATCATTATGTCGCTCCACATGAGAAACCTAGCCCACTCCCTTCCCCCAGTGCACTTTTTCCTGACTTGTTTCTCTTACAAAACCCCGCCCTCCCCAAGCATGTAACTCTGGCAATGCACAAGCCTTATTGCCTCCATCCCCCTTCTCGCCACTGGCTGCCAAGCCCAGGAAAGTTACCTTCCCGACTTGCTGCTGTCTCAGCCCATATCTGTCTGTGCCCTCTGCACCACCAGCCACAGGCTGATTTCCAGCCATCTCCTCAGCTCTCCCACTGCTGCTCATGCCATGCAATCGCTGTCATACTTCTCCACTCAGACCACTCCAGCTGGCAACCTGTGCCCATCTGACCTGAGCCTGCTAAGTACGCCAGGGTCCCTGGGCCTTCTCAATGACGGGCTCCAGCCCCTCAACCAAGCCCCCTTCTGGGGCTCCACTCTCTCCTTCTGTGCTCCTGACCAGTGGGCTGCTGAGTGCTCACTCCGGAGGCAGGCCTCCTGCATCCCTGCTGGCTTCAGGAGCCCAGGAGCTGCTCGCCTTGTTCCTTTTTCAGAACAGCCTCCCTGCAGGCCCCACCCCCAACCCCACCTGTCAAAATCATTCACTTCTTTCACCATCCCTCACGGTCTGTCTCAAATGCCACTTCCTCCAGGAAGCTTGCCTAAGCCTAACCCTTCCAACTGAACACGAGATCCCCTGCCACCAGTCTACACGGATTTACAGTGGGCTTTCTATGTGTAAGACCCCAGTGAAGTGCTGGGCAGGTCACGGAGATGAGTCACACCCACATGCTGCTGTCCTTGTCCTGCCAGGGTCAGCCTGGGGAGATGAAACTTGGTGTGGAAATGTCAAGCAGGGGCTGGGTGCGGTTATCCTGGGAGCGGCTCACCAGCAGAGACCACACAGTTAAGAACTGCAGGAACTCAGCAGAGCCAGGAGGACTGTATGGAAGAGAGCATGGGAGCTGGGCTTTGAGAATGCAGAGGACAAGGACACACAGTAGGCTGCTTATTCCAGGTCAAAGAAGTTTGAACAAAACCACACAGGCAGGACCTCCCTGGTGGCACAAGGGGTTCAGCACCACACTATGAAGCAATCCGCAGCCTCTGCAGCACGAGTTCAATCCCCGGCCAGCCAGGGAGAAACCCACATGGCGAGGCAGACCTCTCCTGATCGCCCGCTGCTCCCCTCAGCAGTGTGTTTCAGTCTATCTGCCTGTTCTGCTCCCCACTCTGTCTCTGGTGGATCCTCTCACCCCCCACATATCTGGCCTGTTCCCCAGCTCTTGTATGCATAAATAAATAAATCTTTTGGAAAAAAAGAAAAAAAAACACACAAGCAGAAAAGCACAGGGTGTAGGAAAGTGAGCCAGCAGTCTAGGCCCCACAAGGCTCTGAACAGAGCCCCAAGCTATGATGGCTGGAGCTGATGGGTATCGGCCTGTCTGCCCCTACACACATGCACCTCAGCAACACCAGTGCAACACTTTCTCTCCTCCCCAGGGACACATCCCCACCCTATACTGCAATGTCAGGCCTGCCCTGGGACCGATAGACTTGGGAAGCAGAAAGTGATCCACCCCTTGGGAGAGGGGACATGATTTAGGACAGTGCTTTTCAATCTTTGTTCAGCCCTAGAACCCTTTGTTCCAATGAAACCCTACCTATGAGCCTAATACGTCAAACAGATAAATCAGAGAGCTGTTCAGGTCAAGGCTGGGGGTGGGCAGCTCCGAGTTGTACTAGGCCCACCCACCCACACAAATCACTAATTTGAGAAGTCTGCAAGTCTAGGGGCACAGAGGGTAGGGAGCCCCAGAAATCTCTTGCTTCCTCTCCAAGACAAAGTGTAGCTTTCCTCCTAGCACCCATTTTCCCACCTGACCACTTTCAGGTTGGAGCCACAGCCATGAAAGCCACTTCCCAGTGAGTCTAACAGCTCTCCCTCTGAAATACACAGGCCCTTTAATAATATGAGAGTGTGTTCATTCTCACCCACCCCTCTTGAGAAAATGCAAAAACACACTACCCTGACACCCTTTTGTTACCAATCTGATTGACGAAGATCAAAAAGTAGAAGAGAGTGAGGACACATGGGGTCTCTTGTACCTTGCTTTTGAGAGTATAAAGTGGCATGGTTATAATCTTTGAAGCACGCAGGCAAAATAGATCAAAATTTTACCTGCCAATTGATCCAAAATCTCCACTTCTAAGAATCTGTTCTGCAGAGCAGACCTATTTAAGATTGTCCACTGTTCATAATACTAATGAATGGGGAACAACTGAAGCCCATCAATAGGAAGTGGATTAAATTAGTTTAACAGGGGCTCCCTGGTGGTGCAAGGGCTTAAGTCTCACCACTATCAAGCTATAGGCAGCCACTGCAGCGTAAGTTCGATCCCTGGCCAGGGAGCTGGCCCACATGGCACAGCAGATCTTCCTGCCTTGCCCACTGCGCCCCTTAGCAGTGTATTTCAGTCAATCTGCCTGTTCTGTTCCCCACTCTGTCTCGAGTGAATCCTCTCACCCCCGCCCCCCTGCACCTCTGGCCTATACCCCAGTTCTTATATGCATAAATAAATAAATTGCTAAATAAATAAATAAATTAGTTTATCATACAACTATACAATAGAATATTCTGACACCATGAAAAAGCATGGGCAGAATAATGCATGAAGCATGCAGCCACTAATATCCCAATATTTGTGCACACATGGGTAATTACACACAACACATGCCTGTGCATGCACAGGCTGCCTCTAGAACACCTCAGGAATTGACAATAAGCTTTCCTCTGGGAGGGGAAGCTAAGGGTGGGAAGAAAAGGAGGCTGCCTTTTCACTCTACCACCTTAGAGTACTATTTGCAAGTTCCCTCTGGTGTATACTACTTTTATGAGAACAATGAAAAAGAAACCCCCCTTCCACTGGCCCCTGGGCTTTAGCAGGCAGGATCCCTGTGTGAGTCCTCCAGGGAAGAAACTCCACCACCCTACCAATTTCTCTACTTTCTACTGCCTCTCCAACCCTGCCACTGTGGCAGCTGCACATGCTGAAAGGCATCCCTGACCCCTTCCCCAGATTCAGTGCTCAGGATGCCAAAGCCCTAGCTGCCCAGCTCCAGACCAGGCCTTCAGCCCCACTTGGCACCCACAGCTCTCGTTTCCTTGCTGCACCTTGGACCAGGCAAGGCAAACTCCTCTCCTGTTCAAAGATCTCTGCCTGCTTGGTAACCCAGATGGCCCTGAACTTAGGAAAGCTGGAGGGCCTCCTTCCAGTAACCCTCCATCTCTTCCAGACAGCTCCCAGTGACCCTGTCTGGCCCTGAGCTGTGTATCTGACTTAAGGCCTGATCCTACTGTGCTTTATTCCAAGGACTAGACGGGTGTGGCTGGTTCCCTGGTGGGACTGGAAGTTCCTGCTTTACTCAAACTGGTCTCCACATCAGCCCTTCATCAGTAGGCAGCCATGCTGGATATCTACAGCAATGTCCATTCTGACTGGTCATCCCTCTACCACACTGGTTGTTAAAAATTTTTGGATGTCATGCCTGCCTCCAGCTGAACCAGCCACCAACTGAGCCTGATAGTGCCTTGCATCCTTCCTTCCTCTCGGCAAAGATACACTGAACACCTACTACACATCAGTGTGCCCAGGTACCGGCATGCCCCTTCTGTAACCACTACCATGAATGCTCAGCCTAATGCCCTCTCTGCTCCTCTCTATGCCCCAAATCCCATCCATCTTTCAGGCTCTACCTACCAAAAACCACCTTCTTGGGGAAGCCAGATTCTATAACAGCTCCAAGCTACACTGATGCTTCCATCTTTAAACCTCCTGCTGTATTTACAATTGACATCTTACAGTTTAGTGCACACTCCTCCACTGCCTAACAATCTTGTCTACCCATGTTATCCTTTTAAAAATGTATTTTCAGTTACTTTTTTCAGTAGGTAACACATGCACAGGACATAATATTCAAATGATTCAAAAAGAGCATATAGTGAAAAACCTCTATGCCAAACAACCCCAACTTCCCAGTTCTTCTTCCTCTCTCTGAGGTACCACTATAACTAATATCTGATGAATCCAAAAATAAATATTAAGGGTGAGCTCACATACACCTGTATAAGATTATGTCTGTAAATACTTAGGTTCTAAGTAGCTTTTGAAATCCCACTAAGGGCAGGGACCCCGTCATTCTATGTTGCCTAAAGTCCCTGACCTCTTAATAAGCACTCGCTTCTCTGGGTGACTGTCAGATGAAGGTAGAAGGCAGGGATGACTGGACAACACAGAGAGAAGGTGGCAAGAGTGGGGACAGAATTGATGGAGGGACAATTCAGAGACCTCAGAAATCCGAGTTAGATCTCATTACTCTGCCACCTCCAACCCTCTTCTCTAAGCATCCAAAGTCTCCTAGGTTTTCTCACCCAACCCTTTACTCACCTTCTTTGGAGAGAAAACACCCACGGTTCCCCCATCCTCCCGGACAGCCACCCCCATCTCAGCCAGCAATGCTTCTCTGTGGGCAAAGGAGAGGGAAATGTTGTTCTTATCATTGCTACCCAAGAACACCTCCCCACCCCTCCCAACTCTACTCCATCCCAGGCCTCCCCTGTGCTCCACACCTCTCCATCCTTAGGGCTTCCGTCTTGCGTAGCTTCTCCTCCCAGGTCTCGTTCAACTCAGCTATAATTTTCTCTGTTTCCTGGGGACATATGTGGGCAGAGATCAGGATTATCTGGGACAAGCACCTACCATGGGGGCCATGCCACTCTTAGGATCTCTTCTCCCTCTTCAAGCCCGGTTTTTGAGAACTGCACTCCCAGAGCGCCAACATTTCCATCCCCTGCCAGCTCCAGCTACCTACCTGTAGCCTCTCCATGGCCTCCTCAGGCCCAATCTGAGGTTCAGTGTTGGGGGAGAATGATGGCTCCAACTCCCCGTTGTGTGCAGGGGGAGATGAGGGTGAAGCTGGGGCAGGGGGAGATGATACAGCTGGCAAAGCACCTCCAGGACTTCCCTCATCCACCTTTAGGCCTGGGAGGGAGCAAGAGGTTAGAGAATAAGGCTAAAGAAAAATGCAACTGATGGGAAACAAAAAGAAGGCTTCACAGAAGACCAGCCTGCAAGGACTTCCAGAGAGATTTGGTCAACCTCCCAGCAGGATGTCCTCCTACTGCAACTCTGACAAATGGTACCCAGTCTATGCTCGTTAGCCATGTTGAGCTAACATCTGCCCCATGTCAAATGTACCTATTGCTTCTAGTTTTGCCCTCCTGGATAGTATTTTTGCTCCTATAAGACTACCCTCAAATGTGGGAAAGTGGTCATCACATCTAACTTCTCAAGTGCTGACATCCGTACTTCCCACACTGGCCCCTCACTCCCTGACTGTCCTCAATGGGATGGACCCCAAGACTGAAGAGTACAGACCTGACACAATTTAACTATTTTTTTTTTAGATTAATTTGTTTATTTATACAAGCACTGGGTACAGTCAGAAGCGCGGGAGGGTGAGAGAATTCACCAGAGCCAGAGCAGGGAGCAGAGCAGGCAGAAGGACCGAAGTACACTGCTGAGGGGAGCAGTGGGCGGCAGGAGAGGTCTGCGCACCATGTGGGACCCTCCTCCGGTGGCCGGGGAGCAGCCAGGGATCCAACCCGCGCTGCAGAGGCTGCGGGCAGCTTTGCAACCCAGCGCTCAACTGCTGCGCCACCAGGGAGGCCCCAGACCTGACACAATTAATGTGAAACACAGGTCCTCTAATGCCATGCTGTTTGTTGTCAGTGAAGCTAAAGTTATGTTTTATTTTATTTTACTTTTAAAGATTTACTTATTATACATACAAGAACTGGGGTGTAAGCCAGAGGTGCGGGGGGTAAGAGGATTCACCAGAGAGAGTGGGAAGCAAAACAGGCAGATCTACTGAAATACACTGCTGAGGGGAGCAGCGGGCAAGACAGGAGAGGTCTCGAACCCGTGCTGTACTGGCTGGCAGTAGCTTGATAGCACTGTCTTTAACCCCTGCACTACCAGGGAGGCCCACAAAGTTTATGTTTTAGAGACCATTCCACTGTTGAGCTGATGGTCAACTGAACTCCTGCTGCTTTACAAGAATGCTGTCCAAGCAGGGCCCCAGCAGCCTACTCTTAATGATTTACTGTTTGAAGCACAAATGCAGGACTTGCCATTTTCTCTTGCTCTTATCATTTCAGCCTGTCAAGGTGGCTCTGAATCCTGACTCTCCCAGTTCCCTTGAAGTCCTGTAACATCGCAAGTGTGGCAAGCCTCCTCTCCTTATCTGTCTCCATGACCCTGAGCATGTGAAGGTCTTTGTGGTGTGTGTGTGTGTGTGATTCTCTTTGGCACCAGGACTGGGTGAAGGCAAAAGAGGAAAGATTAAGGGGCATCCCTAAACTGCCCCTCCCCTGGAGCCCTACCTCCCAGAGCGGAGGCCGAGAGCCCCTGAGCCATTAGCAGCTCCCGTAGCCGAGCCACCTCCTCCTGCAGCTCCCGGATAAGGCGGGCATTAGGGTCCTCATTGATGATGGCGTTGCAGCGGATCTGCTTGGTGCGGTCAGCATACCTGGGAGGAGGAAGGAGGATGGGAACTGGGGACAGACACACAGGACCCTTGGTCTCCTGTCTGGTTTCCTCTCTCCCATCCAGGTTTCAGAATATTGAGGCTGAGTTGAGAGCTGACTATCTCCTGAGCAGGGTTCAGAGCTACCAGACTATGTGCTCCAGGCACTTGTCATATGCTCGTGGCCCTGCCAGAGCTGAAGCCCCACCTGAGTGTGCTGAGGGTCTCCTCGTAGTTGATGTCAGCGGGGCTCAGGGCTGCAATCATTGCTGTGCGTGAGTTGCCACCTGTGGCCGGAAAGGAGAGGCAAGCCTCAGCTGGGGTGTGTCCTAAGACAAGTCAGGCTGGGTCACAGGGTCAGTGGGACCTCAGTGTCCAGGCAGGCTCCAACAGGGTCACTGTCTGAGGTAGGGTAAAGCTCAGAGTTGTGGAGCTAACTACGACAGCTGGTGTCCAAGGGTGCTGGGGTGAGGTCAGGAGGACAGCTGACATTTTCTGGGTAGTCAGGGATCAGTGGGAAGACAATGAAGTCAGCAGTGGGTGTGAGGTTAGGAAGGGGTCACCCAAGAGAAAAAAAGAAAGGGGTCACCCAGAGCCAGGTCAGTGAGGCTTGGCAGGGAGGGTGTGGCCTTGCTCTCAGCATCAGGGCACCTTCAAAGATGTTGCCCAGGTCAGGGGGAGAATTAATAGGCTAACTGGCTCTCAAACCCTAGCTGAGAGTCTAGGGGTGCTGGGGGATTTGCTATTTGTTTCAAAGGGGACTAGTGGGATGGTGGCAGGATCAGCAGGGCAGGAGCGCCTCACCCAGATTCTCCTTCAGTAGCCAGGTGAGCACAGAGTCCCTGTAAGGGATAAAATCCGACTTCCTCTTCTTTGATTGCTGAGGGATGAAAGGGGGAAGAGGGTGAGGGTGGGCTACCCCTCTGCCCCTTTCCCAAAACCTCTTCTCTTCCTACCCCCAAGTCTCACCATATCTGCCAAGGCCGAGATCACTTTCCCTAGAGTAGTCAGGGACTTATTGATGTTGGCACCTTCCTGGAAAAGGAAAAGAAACATGGGGAATGAGACCCTCCTCACCCACTCTGATCCACTTGCCCCTGCCCCTTCCTCCACCCATTCTTCCTCCTGGTAGCCAGAGTCCCTGGGTGATTAGAGACCACTACACATAGCCCCCAACACTGTTCCAGTCCACCCCTCCTAAACCCCTGAGCCCCCTCACCTTCAGCCGCATGCCCCGGGCCCCCGAGGAGTCGGCCCGCTCACTCCCAGCAAGGTCCACCAAACTGATCTTACTAACCTGGGGTGAGAAGCAAGAGGAAGAAGGTAACTGGGGTCAGTGCGGGCAGAGCAGGGAATTAGGGGATACCCGGCAGGAATTTGGGGAGTTAGAAAGGAATGGAGAAAGCCAGGAGGGGCAGGGCAAGTGAAAAGGAGGAAGTGGAATATATAAAGACAACATCATCCATTTGTTCATTTACTCATGAACCCATATCTACATGCCCACAGTGTGAACAACAGACACAGCAGGACCCCACCCTGCCCTAAGAAGTCCAGTCAGAAGGACAAACAAGGCAATAGGGGACTGTAACATCCTGATCTGCTAGGGAAGCTGAGGGGGCCTGAGGGAGCCCAGAGGAGGCACTCAACCCAGCATGGGTGGGAGGAGGATGCTTTAATCATATCATTGTTGCATTAATGGAGGAGGGAATGGGGTACAGGGATGGGTCCCACCTTCTCTGAATCTAGCCCAGTGAGCTGGTCATGGCAGCGCTGAGTGAAGACAATGGTGAAGACAGCGTGGGAACGGCTGCTGGTCTCATTCATGTTGGTAGCAGCCACAGTCCTGGGGGCAGTGGGGCAAGAGTATCAGTTAGTCCCGCCTCACTTTCCTAACCCTGATGCCCTTCCTCCACTCCATCAGCCTGCCTCACCGAGCCTTATTTCCACAGTCCATGAGGTCAGCAATGTCTGCATAAGAGGTCACAGCCAATTTAGACAGGTCCTGCACATAGGGGCCCAGGATAGGGTGCTCCCGGACCCGAAGAGAGCCCCGACTCTTGGGGTTCAAGAGGTCTCGTACCCGCTCACAATAGATCTCCATATAGCTCACCTGAGTGTAGAAGCAGACGAGAAGCAACAAAGCTAGCAATGATACTGACAACGAAACGTGCCCTAAAATTCACTGGCTTTAATTCAAGTCATCGAGACTAACATACACAGCGCATACTCTGCCCCAGGTGTGGGGCTAAGCACCTGGCTCACTGAACTCCCCCCCACCTCCAACAACCAAGGGGTGGGGGAATATCTAAACATCACCATTTCACAGGTGAACATACAACCCAGGAGTTGAGAGATGAAATCAATTGCCCACATCCAGTTAGTAACTGGCAGAGCCAGGAGTACAGCCCAGGCTGTCTGACTCGGGAGACTGCCATTGTTCTGAATCACTCTGCTCCCCCCCACCCCCACCTCCCCCTCTCTACCACCCACCAAGACCTGGGCTTACCTCCACAGAATAGGATAGCTGAGCGCTCTGGTTCTTACTAACACGAGAGAAGAGGTCCTCACAGAGCTAGAGGGGGACACAGAGAAGCTACTGTTCGCGGCATGCCTGCGGTGCTCAGCACCCTGTCCAAAGTGACAGGTCATTCCTATGGTCATTTCCGAACCCCTCTGAGGTTGTTCCGATTTCATAGTCAGGAAAACCTCAGAGAGGTTCAGAAATGACCATAGGTTAGTATTCAGTGCGCTGGGATTCAGTGGGCCAGTGAGTACGCCCACAATGTTGCACAGCCAGGGGGATTATGATCAGAGCTGTATCCACAACTGGCTTTTCCAACAGTCAACACTTTGATTATGACTCACAAGCCTGTAGAACTACACTTGAAAGCCATTGTGAGAAATGGTAAAACAATAGTAAGTGGTAGAACCAGGGTTCAAACCCAGGGCTCTCTAATGCCAAAGCTTTGGTTCTTTTGACTGAGCCTTGTTGCCTCTGGTAAGGGCAAAAATCCCCCTTTCCAAAGGGCCTTGGATATCCAGGTTGCAGCCAGGCCCTCTCCATCACATTCCCTATCACTAATGGCTTCAGAGAGACAAGTCTCTGCTCCATAGCCCTTAGATCCTGCTTTCCTCCCCTAGGACCAGCTAAAGATGCTCTTGCCCTGGCTGCCCTGCCAGGGACCAGGCATGTACCTGGGGCACGATGCCTTGCTGCCCGGGCTCCTGCCGCCCCATCATGGTGTAGGATTTCCCAGCCCCGGTCTGCCCATAGGCAAAGATGCACACATTGTAGCCCTCGAAGGCATGCAGCAGCATTTCTTCTCCAATGTCCCGATAGACCTGCTGCTGAGATGCAAACTGGGGGTCCTCAGCCTAGTTAAAGAGGGGGGGAGGAGCAGGGGACAGAGATAGATGACAGGAGTTCTAGATAACTTTGATGTCTAAGTCCCAAAGTCTTGACCCCATCATTGATGATTGCCCTAAGGTCCTGTGTGCCCCGCTCAGCACCACTCCCTCCCCTCCCCCCCATAGTCCTAACCATCCTTGAGGATCCTATCCTAATTATCCCAAGGAATTCTGTCTTTCCCCATTCTGAGGGTCCCACTGCACCCAAGGGTCCTAGTCCTCCCAACCAGTCCCAGCCAACCCCAGGAGGTCCTATTTCCCAGCAACACCCCTTCCCAGAACCTAAATCCCCTCCATCCCTCATTGTTTAGCTTTTCTCCCAACCCGATGACCTCACCGAAGTGTGTGACCAGTAGGAATAGTCGAAGGTGAAACTTTTGGGGGCATCTTTGCTCTGCTTGGGATTGATGATGGCTGAGGGAGCAAAAGGGCAAGGGAAGGAAAGTCAAAGTCAGGTACTCCCAACCTGTCCATGGCCCCTTGGAATCCAGGCATCCCACTCCCCATCCCTGTCCTAGTTCATCTCTCCCCTTTAATATTCCCAACCCCCTCCAGGCACCAAAGCTAATTTTGGCTCCTAAGACCCGCCCCCCCCACACTGGGCTGCCTCCCTGGATTGGGCAATGGAGGGCTCCAAGCCAACATTCCCCCTTCCCAGGGACTGGAACACTGAAAGGCCATTCTGCCCCAGCCCCCGCCCTTACAATTAGCACCTGCTCTGTGCCCAGCACAGTCTTCTTCCCTATTCAGTCCAGCAGGACTGGACTACATGGTCTCGCCTGTGCCCAGCCAGGCTCCAGGGACTCACTCACAGGTGGTGCTGCCCTGCATGCTGACCACACACTTGGCATCCTGGCTGGTCTCACGGGCGTTGAAGGGCCGAACCCTCACTGCCACTTTCACCGAGGCGCCAGCCATAGCTCCAGATGCTCCCACCCTCCTCAGCTGAAGGACAGAGAGAGAAGAGGCGATCAGTTCCACTGGGCGAAACCAGACCTTGCCTCCCAGCTTCTCCCAGGAATCAATCTCTCCATTACCCTTTCCCCAGCTACCCAGTCCCTCAAGAACCCAGTTCCTAGTCCCCTGGACTTCCTCCCAAATGTCACTCTCCTCAGGGACTCCCAAAGGTGTTCCTGCTTCTCTCCCCAGGCATATCCCAGCTTTCAGGGACCTGGGCCATCACCCCAGAGTTACCTGGCGTCCTGGCCCCAGACCAGGGGGGCTGTATCAGTTCTGGCTGCCACCGGCCCTCGTAGGGGGAGCCCCATCCTACACTTGGGGCCTGGCCACACCAGCTGGGGCTGTGGGGGAAACCCTGGTTGTGGGGGAAGAGCGGTTAGGAGGCACCTATGGCTCCAGAAATGTGTCTGGGGTTCCAAGGTTGAAGGGCAAGAGGTTGGGGATAATGTTAGAAAAGGTAAGGATGGTTGTTCCTCTGGAGTGGAAATGCAATGTGAATCCAAGGACAGGGACAGTGATATTTTTATTTCTCGTCACTCTCGAGTCTACTGAACATTTAGATAGAGAAGAGAGAGAGAAAGAGGGAGACTGGACAGAGGACAATTCAGAGAGAGGGACACATGGGCAGAGACACTGAGAGTAGCAGGAAGGGGAAGACAGTCAGACACCAAGAAAACCAGACAGAGGAGAGAAGGCAAGATTGAGGTCATGCTATAAAGGAAATAATGGAAGGAGGAAAGGAAGGAGACACAGACGTTAACACAGAAACGTTGGACAGGGAAGGGAGCTTTGGGACAAAAGCAATAACTAGGAGTTCAGAAGAGAGATAAGGAGAAGAAAGACCCAAACATACCTGCTCCTACCTAGGGCTCACAATCTACACACACACACACACACACACACACACACACACACACACACACGAAGGAGAGAAGGAGAGATTGCTAGGGCTCACAATCTACACACACACACACCCACACACACACACCCACACACACATGCACACACAAAGGAGAGATTGCTGATGGGCAAAGTCTAAGGGCTGCAGGTACAGTCCGGGATTGGGATCCACAGGGCCTGCCTGTGGGCCCCAAACCCCTTGCCCAGCCCCCAGCACTTCCTCCTCAGGATCCAAGACAATGGGCAGGGCAGGGTGGGGTCATCCTGTATCCACCAACCCCCCAGGGCTCCTCTGTTGGAGGATCCAGAATACCTGTCTTTCTGGGGAGGACAGGCAGCACTGGGGACTCCTTGAAACAGGAGAGGAGGGAAAGGAAGCAGGAAGATCCCAGCCCAGCCTGGGGCTAGTGCTATGGCGTCCACTGCCCTGGGGAAGGTGCCAGGCAGGAGCCCAGGAATGTGGGTGATCGGGTGCCCACACCCTGTGAGGAGAGGCTGAGCAGCCCACGCCCACGGACAGCAGGGTGGAGGATTGTGAAGAGGAATCAAAGTTGCCCGCCCCCCTTCTGTGGTCCCAAAGGATCTCAAACTCTTATCACTCATGCCTCCCCTCACCAGCGTTACTAGGCAGGGCATGGGAGGGGTGTGAGGGCTGGTCTATCCCAGGACAGGAAGGGAGTAGCTGAAATCACACAGGCTGTCTCAGGAAGAACAGCCCTGACCCCCCAGGCCCTGACCAGGGGAGGAAAGGGACAATGATGGGGACACACAATGGTGATGCCGCTGGGGCAAATGGTGCAGGGAACGGTGGCACGACCCGGGGATAGCGGAGTAAAGAACTGGGGGGCAGGTACAGGGGTCGGCCGGGGCAGTGTAGAGTAGTGTTGTTCAGGGAGGAGCGGCGACTGGGGCGGGAGCCTAGGGGCCTGAAAGAGGGCCTCGGGCCACCTGCAACTTGCCCACCCGGCGTTCTCAGACAGGCCCCTGCCCTGGCCTCCTTGGGCGGCCATGCGGACCCTGTCCTGGCCGGCCAACCCACGGCCGCCCGGGCCTGGCACCTCTCTGCGCCTCCACGGGACAAACAGCACATGATCCCGGCTCTCGCGCTATGCCGGCCCCCGCCGGGTCTCGCAAACCCGGGCTCCGGGTCTCACAGCCCGGGCTGGGCTCCCCGCCCCCCAGCCCGGCACATTCCTCCGCGGGCGTCCCCTCCCTCGCCCCCCCGCCCCCGGCTCTCACCTCGTCGCGGCGGGGTTCCCGGGGCGGATCGGCGGAACGCAAAGGGACAAACTTTCCGGAAAGCGTGAGACGGGAGTGGGGGAGACCCGGGACCTGTCGGGCGCTGCCCCCGCCCCTCGCCGGGTCCCCGGGCGGCGGGCGGCCGACTCGCGCCCCGGGGGCGGCAGCAGTAGCGGCGCCAGCGGCCGGCGCCCGCCCGGGCAGCGCGAGCTGGGGCGGGAGCGACGGGCGGGGGAGCCGCGGGGGGCGGGCGGGCGCGCGCACGCGGGCGGCGGGCGCGCGCCGTCCCGAGAAGGGCCCGGGACTGCTCCTATTAAAGGGGCAAGGCCCCCGGACTGTGGGGGTCACTGTGAGGGGACAGGGAACCGAGGTGCGGACGCGCAAAGGTAACCCCGACGTCGCGACCCGGGAGGGCTGCGAGCGCCACGGAGCAGGGAAAGGTGGGGGAGGCCCCTGGAGCGGACCCGGGCCCCCCGACCCGCGCCCGGCGCCGCTGTCGGAGGCGCGCGTGGGGGCGGAGCCTCTTGCCGGGCCCCGCCCAGGAGGTGGCTCGGCCCAAGCCCCGCCCACGGGCGCGCGGCGGCGGCCGGCTCCTCCCTCGCTCCAGTCAGCGCCGCTCTCCTCCCCGCCCGGCGGGTGGTTCTAGAATTCGCCGCGCGACTCTCTCAGGTGCTCCGGCCAAGCGCAGCCAGCGACGGCATTGCCATCCAGGCGCCCTCGCCTCGCCCGGCCCTTAAATTTGGTCGGCCCGACGGGACCCGGCCGCCGCCTCAGGCCCAGGCCACCCCTCAGGCCTGCGTGCCCGCTCGGGCCCAGACCACCCCTCGCGATCCAGCCTGGCCGCTGACTGTCCCCCGGGGAATGGATCCACCACCTGCGGGGCGAGACGGGGAGGGGGGCGGAGGGGGGCGGAGGAGTCAGGACTTGGATTCCTCAAGTTCCTTGTTATACCCCCAGGCTTGGCTGCTCTAGGAGTAACCACGCCCCAGTCCACCTGCAAGCCTCCAGTTACCCCTTTAGGCCCAAACCTGGACCTTCCCTCCAGACAGGGTTTACCCGCACTCACCACCACCACCACCACCACCACCACCGCTACCCCTAGACTCAGGCCAAACTCTTCAGCCCCAGCCTGACACACACACACACCCTCCCTCATCTGCCCTGTGATGCGCGGTTGCGGTTGCGGTTGCTCTTCAATACCTTTGCTTCCCCCAGTCAATTGTTCATTACCCCCTATAGCTTCCTTTAGCCCCATCTTACCCCTTACGTTACCCTCAGGTAGACCCAACTACCTGAGATCCAAATGTCCCTCTGCTCCCAACTGCCCACCTGAGTTCAATTTAACCCTTCTGGCCCTGGATGTCCCACTTAGACACCCTCTGCTTTTTCATCCCAGCATTAACCATCCTATTTGCCACTTCAACCCTACATAACTCCTCGCTCCATTTTTCTTTTTATCTCATCTAACTGCTTTCTCAGCCCATCCTTAGTTGCCCTTGGATAAATACTTGTTTACCTCTAACATTGCCCAATTGGTCTTTTCTGTCCTTTATGCTGCCTACGGGCCCCCAACTAACTTATCTTGTATTCTTATCTGACTTTTCTGAGCACCCCAACTGGCTCTCAGATCATGTTAGGATGTCCCTACTTCTCTGTGTAACTTACCTCTCTGCTCACCTTCTTTTCCTATAAACATTCCTACCTACCTCCTCCTCCTGTCACCAGTTGACCATTCTGTCCACACTTAACTTTCACTAACCATTCATACCTGAATTATTACCAATCCTCAATTATGCCACTTTCAAAATGCCCCAACCACCAATTTTATACCAGCTACCCCAAATTCCTCAAATTCCTCTGCCCCATGTAGTCTCCACCTGTGACTTTTTCATATCATCATCTCTCACTTAACTACCATCTCAAAATTCAGTTACTCCATACATTTGGCTTCAGAAACTTTATTTTCTCCTTTTGCCACATTCACATTTCCTGTGCTTGACATCTCCAACCTGTGTGTTCACCTAATAGAAATAACCAGCATTAAAAATAACTTTGAAGCTCTCTTTCCTTTTTAAGTTCTCACACGTCCCCTTTTCCAATCTCTATCTAGATCTATTACCAATCTCATCCAGTCAGCCATTACATGAGTAAATAATTCATTTTCCACTTTCCTCCCAGCACGTATGAGGAGACTCAGTCCAGCTACTCAGCCCAGTGCAGTTATGCAGGTGCAGGAAGATGACAACAATCTCATTCCCTTTGCAAAGTGAGTCCTCTCCACCTGGTGGGGAGGATGGGGGTGCGATGGAGGGAGGATTGCATGCCTGGGTTCTTCCTGGAGAGGAGTAGGGAATAAGGAACAATGTCTAGTGTCAAAAAATTGATGATTCATTAATTTATTCAGTAAATAGTATTTGAACTATTTTCAACTACATAGTTTGGGCACTGTGCTAGGCACTCAGGATTTAGCAATTAGAAAGATAGAGTCTTGTTCATAGAGCTTATATTCTAGAGGGAGTAAACAGAATTTGTAAACCAGTAAGCAGAATTTCAGCTAGTGATAAGTATCGTGAAAAAATAAAATGGGAATGTAACAATGAAAACAGGATGTCTTAGAAACACAAGGCTAAATAGAGTGATTAATGAAGACTATTCTGGGAGAGTGAATTGATATCTGAAAAATGAGAAGATGTCAGTTTGATAAGAACCAGGGAAGAGAAGAAGGAATAGTTGGTTAAAAAGCCCCAGTAAGGAAACAAGCTTGGTATGTTCTAGGATAAGGAAGGAGGCCAGTGTAACAGAAACTTCGTAATCAAGGGAAAAGTGGAGGGCAAAGTCAATGACTTGGGGAGAGAACAGATCATATAGGAGCCAATGGGCCACTGAAAAAAGTTTGAATTTTATTCAGAGGGCAGCAGAAATCAGTGGAAGGTTTTAAGTGAGAGAATGACAAATCACTTTTTTTTTAAAGATTTATTTATTTTTATACAAGAGCTGGGGTACAGGCCAGAGACGTGGAAGGGTGAGAGGATTCACCAGAGACAGTGTGGGGAGCAGAACAGATTGTTGACCAAAATACACTGCTGAGAGGAGCAGCAGACGAGACAGGAGAAGTGTACCATGGCATGTGGGAATCTCCCTGGCCAGTGGGGAATCGAACCGGTGCTGCAAAGGCTGCAGACAGCTTCACAGTGCTGAGCTCAACCCGCTGCGCTGCCAGGGAGGCCCACAAATCACTTTTTTTCTTCAAGTTTTTTTTTTCTTTTTTTCTTTTTATTATCTCTTCAACTTTTTTATTATGGAAAATTTCATAAAAATACATATATAAGGAAAATAGTATATTGAATCTGATGTACCCTTTTCAGTCAGCTTCAACATTACATGGATAATTTTTCCTTTTATATTTCCAGCCCCTTACTACTCTTTTTTTTAAAAGATGTATTTATTTGTGCATACAAGAGCAGGGGTGCAGGCCGAGGGGGGCAGGGGGATGGGAAGAGTGAGGATTCACCAGAGACAGAATGGGGAGCAGAACAGGTGGATCTACTGAAATACACTGCTGAGGGGCACAGTGGGTGAGACAGGAGAGTGTCTAGTGTCAGAAAATTGATGATTCATTAATTTATTCAGTAAATAGTATTTGAACTATCTTCAACTACACAGTTTGGGCACTGTGCTAGGCTCTATGTGGGTTGGCTCCCGGGCCGGGGATCTAACTCTTGCTGCAGTGGCTGGTGTTAGCTTGATAGCACTGAGACTTTAACCCCTGTGCCACCAGGGAGGCCCTGAATTTGCATATATTTTAGATGTAGACTGCACTTGCTGAGAGATTGGCTATGGGAAGTGAAGGAAAGTTAGCCATACCAAATTTTTGGTCTATAACTGGGCATTTAAGGTACTTTTCAATGAGATGGGAAATGCTGGAAAGGAGATATTGAGAGAGCAGTTGAACCTATGAGTCTGAAGCCCCAGGAGAAGCAAGGACTAGAAATATGACTTGGGAGTCTTCAACACATTGGTGGTATTGTTGTCATGTTTTTGAAGTCAGTGGGTTTGGAGTGCGGTGTCCTTGGGTTTACTCTGGTAAAGGTTTCACCAGAGCTCCCCTTTCAGTGGCACGCGGTGAGTCTCCCAGGCGAGTTTCTCCATGAGACAGACACATTAGTTGATGGTGGACCAGAATAGAAAAAACTGAAAAGGAGGTGCCACAAGACCAGAAACCTGGCACACACAAGCAGGTGGGGGTAGAAGGGATTAGCATAGCCATTGACACAGCTATGGACACCAAGATCCTTAGGCACCAAAGCCTAGATTACAAAGCATAACATTCAAGCAGGTATCTGAGCACACATCCAAAGGTAAAGATATGGAGATTGAGCCCATGTGGAATCTCCGGTCTCTTTCAGATTCTACATAGTTATCCAAAATCAGCAACTAACCCGGAGGCACACAAGGAGTGAGCCCCTCCCAAACAGAAGAAGACTATATCAGTGCAGTCTCTGCACAGGCTCTGGGCAGCAATCCCTCTGCCACCTGTGCCTATGCAGGTGCTTCTTTTCACAAACTCTCTCCCTCTGCAGGGCAGCAGCTTCCTGCCTGCCCGTCACCTGTACCATATCAGGACTTCTCTTCACTGACCTCCCTCAGCAGAAGCCGCTCTCCTCAAGGCCGCCCGCCTGCAACCATGCAGGCCTCTCAGCAAACCTGTCCCCCTTTCCGGGCAGCTCTTCATGCCTGCTGGTGTCTATACAAGTGTCCTTTATTCTTCTGTCCCTTTCCCTAATAAACCTGTTCTTTAAATATAACTAGCGTCTCTGTCTTGTGGAGAAACTCTCCTGGGAAACTCACTTGCATGTCGCTGAAACAGGAGCTCTTGTGAAACCTTTCCCAGAGTGAACCCAAGGACCCCGCACTGCAAACCCAGTCTCCAAAAATAACAATATTAATTATATTTAAAGAGCACGTTTAAAAGGGAAAGGGACAGAGGAATAAAAGAAACTTGCATAGGCGCAAGCAGGCAGAAAGAGCAGCCTCTTTGTGGGGGCAGCATTAGGTTTTATTATCTTCGTTTAGTAGGGAGGGGCTCATCTGTGAGCCATCAGTTGGTTACTGATTTTGGATATCTGAAAGGGATGGGAGAGTCTACAATGGGCTCAATCTCCATATCTTTACCCTTGGATGTGTGCTCTGATACCTGCTTGAATGTTATGCTTTGTAATCTAGGCATTGGCACCTAAGGAGCTTAGTTTCCTTAGCTGTATCAATGGCTATGCTTATCTCTTCTACCCCCACCTCCTTGTGTGAGCCAGGTTTCTGGTCTTGTGGCACCTCTCTTTCAGTTTTTTTCTATTCCTGTCCTCCATCAGTATTGAAAGTGTGCCAAGGTGGGGGATTTCACATTTGTGGGCTCTTCACCCATGCTCTCACAATTGCAAGGCATGGCTCAGTCTCAAGTTGCAACCACCATAGGGTTTATTTAAAAAGGGAGATCAGGGCCACAAGTGGTTTGATGTCCTATCCCAATAGTGTCCACAATGTCCAATAGTCCAGACTGAAAGCTACTTGTGCAAGATGGTGGTGTTCCTCTGAAGGTAGCCTGGAACTGGGGAGCCTCCCTGGTGGCACAAGGGGTTAAGTCTCATCACTGTGAAGCTATCCGCAGCCACTGCAGCATGAGTTGGATCCCCAGCCAGGGAACTACCCACATGGTGCAGCAGACCTCCCTGTCTCACCTGCTGCTCCCCTCAGCAGTTTATTTCGGTCAATCTGCCTGTTCTGTTCCCCACTCTGTCTCTGGTGAATCCTCTCACTCCTGTACCTCTGGCCTGTACCCCAGTTTTGGTATGCATAAATAAATAAATCTTTTTAAAAAAATAATAAATCTTAAAAAAAATAAAGTGAAGGTCTGGATGAGATCACCTAAGGAGAAATGGAGAACATAGAGTCCAGGCCTAAGCCCTAGGACACTCTCCCTCCAGAGATCAGAAGGAAGTCCTCTCTCAATCTTGGAGCTTAGAAGTGATAAGTACTCTTCTCAAACAGCTCTGCTCTCCCTACCTCTAAGATACTGTTGTAGAGTAACCCCGATACAAAATGGGGTGCCTGACTGTGAGTCCTCACCCGCGCACTTAAAAGGACTTATCAATGCTTTACTGCAGGCACACGCAAAAGGTTAATAAAAGGTTTATTTACAAGGGAAGGGGAAATGAGCAAATGTACAGCTCAGGGAGAAAAGTGGGAGACAAAGTTTTAAATGAGTCCTACCCGATCCGCTGATCAGAAATGGCGCTCTGAGAACTGGCCGCAAGCCAGGAGCCGTGAAGCCAGGAGGTGAGCAACAGCGAGCCACCCCAAGGCCCACGTGTTTGGTTTTTATACCCAACTCCACCCTCAGGTCCCAGCCACCTTCCCTTTGGTGGTAATGGGATTTGTCTTTCCCAATGTCTTGATGGCTTTAGTCTGGACTGAGAGTGGAGTCCACAAAGCCTGTATGAGATTAACTCAGGACATCATTTCTCCCTAACAATACTAGTCCTTCTGACATAGGGAATAAAGACAGGGATAGAGAGAAATGTTGCTGTCCTGGATCTTAGCATTAACTAAAAGAAACCCTGGCTGTCTCATCACCTGAGTAGCCAAGGCCTTCCTCTACAATAGCTCTGCTTGCTAAATATGAATTTTTCTATTCATAGAAACTTGAGATTCAGTGAAATCTAAGGCTTAGGCAATTGTCAGACTCCACCCTCAACCCAGCTCCAATCTCCTCTCAAATCAGAGGCCTCACCATCTTCCTTCCTTAGCTAAAATGGGTAAGAGATCATGCAGCCTGAGGGATCCTCAGCAACTGTGTGGTCCCATGGAAAGATAAAACCCCTGTATCCCTGGGGCATGTAGCTGCTGTAAGGGGAGAGCCAGACCTGAACCTGTCTTGTCACCTCAGGTGTTCAAAGGTGGTCAGGAGATCTCCACCCCTCAACTTGCCTTCCCAGAGCCTCAGACTGACTCCCCAGCGTTATGGGGACTTCTTCTGGGAGAAACTTAGTCAAAGGCCCAGGTGGGTAGAACTGGAAAAAATGGGGACTAACTGGAGTGGGATGGTGAAGCTCTACAGTTTTCAATTTCCACAAAGCCTTATAACAATAACCTTTAGTCTGGAGATAATTGTCCCCGCTGACTGACGGTAGAGTTCCTAACATCCGATAGATAGGTGGTTGGGAAAAGTCTTTAAAAAGAAACAATATGGATGCATTTAGCCCCCTTTTTGTGCTTCACAGCCCCACTTGGATGGAGGAACAATACATCCCATCCCAGCTGGTATGGCAAATTTTCTTCCCTTTAGCACTTCTCTGTTAAAACTGTACCCACAGTCATTCTCTCTCTAGCTCCTTATTATCACATTCCTCTGTTATTCCCCATCCAGTGCACTGACCAAACCCTCTTTCCTATTAATCATTCATCATGTTTTCCAGATCACAATTATATTTTTATGATCTGGTCTTCCCAAGACCCCTGACTTTGTATTTTAGTCCAAGCTCCCTGAAAGATCCAGTTTTGCCTGTTAGCTCCTTTTCTGCATTCCCTGGAACAGAGAGCCACTGGTTGCTCCCAGTCTGGCCTGTACCGCCCAGAGGGGCTCCCACCCCCTGAGATGCTTTGCAGAAGAAAGAGAAGGAGGACACATTTGCATCAGGGACCTGAGGGGATCCCAGCCCGGGTAAGGGCTGTCACTTATCATCTAGAGGATCTAAGGAGGCGGCAGAGAATCATCAATGAGTAAGGAGACACAAGGGCTGGGCTTTGGGAGCCAAGTGGGGGTTTGGGGGCAGGGTGGTTTGAACCAAGGACACGGTGGAGAGCTTTGAGGAAGTTGGAGGTTGTTTGAACCAAGGACTTAATGCTACTGAAGAGAATTTTCAGGAGGGGGGAATGGAGGAATGGAGGACAATCACATGAGCTGGAAGGAGTGGAAACTGCAGGAAAGCATTTGGGGACAGGAAAGTACTCCATAGCACTGGGATAGTGGGATTGTTAGGGGGAAAAGGATGTCCCAAAGCTAATTCCATATAGGCTTTGTGGACTCCACCCCCACCCCAGGTCAAAGCCAAAGACACTGGGAACTCCAAATCCCATCACCACCAAAGGGAAGGTGGCTGGGACCTGAAGGTGGGGTTAAGCAGCCAGGTGGATATAAAAGGCAGACACGTGGGCTTTGGGGTTCCCCCATTTTTGACTCTCTGCCAGCTCGCAGCGTCCGGCCAGCTCTGAGAGTGACTTTGGGTTTCCAGGTCGGCGGATCGGGTAGGACGCATTAAAGACTTTATTTCCCTATTTTCTCCCCGAGTTGTACATTTTCCTTATTTCCTTTTCTCTTGTAAATCTTTTATTAACCTTTTGTGTGTGTCTGTAGTAGAGTATTCATAAGTCCCTTTAAAGCGTGCGGGTGAGGACCCACAGCCAGGAACCCGTTTAATATCGGGGTTGCCTATAACAGCTTGGCGCCCAACATGGGGCGCCAGGGTTTCTTCAGAAAAAAAAAAAACGAGTTCTTGGGTATCCTGCAACAATAACTGGAAAAGAAGTCAGTAACATTCAAGTTTTTTTCTGTTTCTTAAACAAATATCTCAAGTCTTCAATGGGTTCACAAGACCAATGGGACTTCGTCTCTGGGTCAGTTCCTTCTGGCGCTTTCTTAACTCTGGAATGATGTACCCAGGGTTTTATACCTACAAGTTTCAGAGAAGTATGTGTGCTTAGCAAAACGTCATATGGACCAGTCCATTTTTCTGACAGCTGGTTTTGGGCATCCCAACTCTGCCAGGTCTTCAGTAAGACCTGATCTCCAGGTTTGAAGGGATGCAATGGTTGATCAGGAGGCATAGAGATTCTCGAGGTTGTAAAGTTTTGAATTACTGCCAGAACCTCCTGGATGTGTTTCACATATTGTGTGATCCGGCAATCTTGAGCTATTTCCAGACTGGCTTTCAGAACTGAGGCCTGGAAGGGTCTTCCGAACACAATTTCAAAGGGGCTTAATTGTAGCCCACTTCTAGGTGCCACTCTTATGCGGAGGAGGGCAAGGGATAGTACCTGGTCCCAACGAAGCTGTGTTTCTTGGCACAGTTTTGCCAAGGTTTTCTTTAAGGTGTGGTTCATTTTCTCCGTTTGTCCAGAAGACTGCAGTCTCCATGCAGCATGCAATTTCCAGTTGATCTGTAACGCACTGCTTACTGCATGAGTAACATCAGAGACAAATGCCGGCCCATTATCACTCTGGATAGAATCCGGCAACCCAAAGCAAGGAATTATCTCCTTCAGCAGCTGTTATAGGGCAACCCCGATATTAAACGGGTTCCTGGCTGTGGGTCCTCACCCGCACGCTTTAAAGGGACTTATGAATACTCTACTACAGACACACACAAAAGGTTAATAAAAGGTTTATTTACAAGAGAAAAGGAAATAAGGAAAATGTACAACTCGGGGAGAAAATAGGGAAATAAAGTCTTTAATGCATCCTACCCGATCCGACAACCTGGAAACCCAAAGTCACTCTCAGAGCTGGCCGGACGCTGCGAGCTGGCAGAGAGCCAAAAATGGGGGAACCCCAAAGCCCACGTGTCTGCCTTTTATATCCACCTGGCTGCTTAACCCCACCTTCAGGTCCCAGCCACCTTCCCTTTGGTGGTGATGGGATTTGGAGTTCCCAGTGTCTTTGGCTTTGACCTGGGGTGGGGGTGGAGTCCACAAAGCCTATATGGAATTAGCTTTGGGACATCCTTTTCCCCCTAACAGGATCACCTCTGAGTCCCTGGATTGAAAATATTTCAGTTTGGAGAGGCAGAAAGTTGGGAGTGGAGAGTTAGAAATTAAGTGATGATACCCTTGGATCATTGGAAGTATTTCAGGGTAAAAATGAAGAATGGAGAAGACAGGAAGCCTGGTCTCCAGGTTCCTCTTTCCTAAGCCTAAAGTCCCCACAGAATGAAGAAGACCCAATGGAGCAGCTCTGGGGCTGCTTCTGGGCATCCCGTGCTTGGTGAAGATGGCTGTGGAGTTCCCACCACCTCCCAATGCCCTGACCTGGAAGAGAAGAGGGTAACCTATCCAGGGGAAGAGGACTGTTTTCTCACTCTTGGCAGGGCCCAGGTACCTTTAGAGAGGAACTTGGTGGGTTGGTAGTAGAGGGTGATGTGGATTTTTGGTCTTGCATGGAGAGATAGTGGAAGCCAAGAGCCAAATTAACTTGAGAGGAACAAAACAAAGTAGGTGAGAGCCAAGGACTTTGGGGTACATAGGCCTGGGGTCTAGAAGCTCTAGAGACCTACTTTTCCATTATTTCATTCTTCAATTCCTCTCTTCTTACAGCTGCTTTGGTCTCCCTGGAGTCCCCTCGGCCAGGAGGGGTCTAGTTTCTTCAGGCAACCGAGCTCCCTGGCTCCCTACAGCACTGCCACAGCCAGTAGGAACCCCCTTCACAGTCCCTGGGGGATGGAACTGCAGCCTGAGGAGTAAGGAGAAACCAAGAGGCTAGCACTGCTTCAGGGACCCAAGTCCAGTTCTCATCACTGGAACCTCCCCCATTTCTGGCATCAAGGCATTTTCCTTTTCATAGCCTCTCCTACTTCCTCTCCTGTTCTCAGAATTAGGCATTAACAGCCCCCTCAACCCATCCCTCTCACAGGAGCTCCCCAAGTCCTCCTGTTCCTTAGGCGCCACTGCCTGGCATTTGTTTTTTGTTCTGTTATTAAAGAGCAAGCAAGTTGAGTCCAGAGTTGTCCTTCTCTCCGTGAAACGGTGATGGAATGGCTCGTGGGGAAGGAGCGCTCCTTTCAACCTTAAGACCCAACGAAAACGAAATCGGGCTGGGTTCCCGAAGTTCCTCCTCTTGCCCGAGGAGGAAGAGGTCCTTCGACCAGTCCAGTATGCCTCCCAGCGCTGGACAGCCGCGGGTGCCCCACTCTCTCGGCCAGGGAGTCACATCTGTCAGCCGGGCTTCCGCGTCCGGGACCCCGGAGTCCTGCCCGCAGCACTGCTGCTCCTTCAGGGACTTCCCGCCAGTCTGTCCTGACTCAGGGCCCTGAAAGCCGAGTCCCTCCGCCCAGCGCCCCACCCAGAGACCCACGTGTGCTGACCCCAAGTTCGCGTCCGGACCCTCATCCCCTTAATTGGGAGGCCCCGCCCCGTGCGCAGTGACGTCGGACGCTGCTGTCAGCCGGCGCTGGAGGGGGGGTCGGTGTGGGGTAGAATGGCCGCCGCCGCCGTCACCCGCGGGACCCCGGGAGGTAAGAGCCAGGGCCTCTCACCTGCCTCTCCGCCCCCGCGCCAGGGGGCGCAACTCCACCCGGCCCAGACGCGGCGCTCCGCGCGGGGGACCACCGTCCCTCCTCCCTGTTCGCCCCCACTGCCCGCTTCCGTCCTCCTCCCCCGCGCCAGGGGGCGCCGCTCGGCGCAGGGCCCGACAGCGGACCTGGAGTGCCTGGACTGTCCCAGGGACCCCCGTACCCCGGAACCCCCACTGCCCTTTGCCCGCCCACGGTCTCTGCGCCGCAGCTCCTCCAGAACATCCCTCTGGGCGGACGGGAGGCAGGACCCTCCCATCTGGGACCTTCCCCTGGGACCACCGCCTCACCGTGGAGGGCCGCCCCTGGGCCAGCTCCGCACCCTGGCAGGCTGCCTAGCCCCGACCGCGCACCTGCGCTGTGGGGCGGATTCCTTAACCCCAACCCCGGCTACACTGCACACAGCCGAGCTCGGACGGGCCTCCTCCCCCTCTCCATCCCCGGCCTCCTGGCGGAGCCCTAGCTGAGAGCCTCCTCCACCTTCCATCTGTTCCCCCAAGAGGGTGTGGGCTCGGGCTGGAGCCGGAGTGATGAGGGGGTAGGATAGGCCCGAAGGCTAGGAGTGGCAGAGGGGTTTGGGGGAAAAGGTGTGGGGCGGGGGTTAGGGGGTGGACTGTCAGTCTGGGGTGGAGGATGGGTTTTCCTGAGGGTGCGAAGCTGGGTCCTGAGTGTCTAGCCCAGATTCTACAAGGCCTTTACCAACTGGAGCAGACGGAGTAGGTTAGAATCGGTTATCAGATCTGCCCTTCCCCTTGGAAAAATCAGAGAAGGAACTCAGGGTGTGTCTTCTAAGGCCTTGCTCTCCAGCCGGACTTGGACCTCTTGCCCTTCCTCCAGGGTCCTTGCAGGCTTTTGCCAAACCATCCTCCAAGGTCTAGAAGCCCTGAGACCCCACACCCAGCACCTGACCCCACTTTAACCTCCCCAAAAGCCCACACCGTAGGGCTTCTGAAGTAACAGCCCTGCCAACCTTCGCCCCTCCCCCCCCCACCCAGTCTCTTCCTGATTACTCTCTTCGCTGGTGCCTCCCCATTCATGTTGGTTCCTGGCACATCTGGGTTCTCCCTCACCATTCCCTAGCTCTGCTCTCAGTCATAGTCCAGCCCAGCCCCTTCTGCTCACTTCCTCATCTTTCCTAGTTATTACCACCTAGTTCTCCACCCTCTCTCCCATCTCTTCCTCCTGCTGGACTAGTGTGGGGATATCTGCTATGACCTTGTTCTCTCCTTTCCCAGCACAGACTCCCCCTCCCCCCGGCCCCTCAGGCCGGGGGTGACCTTACCCCCTGGAGCCCTCACCATGAATACCAAGGACACCACCGAGGTTGCTGGTGAGTTCACAATCTAGGTTCCCAGTATGGGCATAGCCTCTTTTCTCCCCATGCTGTGGTGACCCCGTAATTCTTGGATTCCCTGCTCTCCTTATCATTGCTTCAGTTTCTCCCAATTGTCTGGATTCAGCCCTTTCTCCCAGGGTTATCACAGGGATGTTGGGAGCAGCACACTAAGCTCTCCCTTCTAATTCCCTCTAGAAAACAGCCACCACCTGAAGATCTTTCTCCCCAAGAAGCTGCTGGAGTGTCTTCCTCGCTGTCCACTGCTGCCTCCAGAGCGGTTACGGTGGAATACAAATGAGGTTTTTTAGGGAGCCTGGGGTTTAGGGCCTAACAAGTCCTGGTGGGCTGGAGGAGGGCAAATGGGGGTCTTCCTGTCTGTTAACACGTCCAAGTACTGCAGAGTACTGCTGTGAGCTCTTTGGGGATCATAGGAGGGTTCTAAAGACTGCATCTTATAGGAGCTCATTTCTCCTTGGCATTCCCGCCCAGGTAAAAATAATAGCTACCACCTACAAAAGTATTTCTTACAAACCAGGCATTAGGACCTGTATTATCTCATTTAAAAAAAATATTTATTTAGTAGAAAAACTGGGCTATACACCAGAAGTGCTGGGGGTGAGAGGATTCACAAAAGACAGAGTGGGGAAAAGAAAAGAGAGGATTTACTGAAATACACTGCTAAAGGGAGCAGCAGGTGAGACAGGAGAGATCTGCTTCACTATATGTGGGTTAGCTCCCTGGCTGGGGATCGAACTCAGGCCATAGTGATAGAGCTGAGAATTACCCTTCGGTTACCAGGGAGACCCTGTATTATCTCATTTAGTCATTTAAGGACACTGTTAAGCAGGCACTGTTATTATTTTTGTGGTGCAGATGAGGAAACTCACATACCTCATCTAGTTTATCTCACTCACTCCAGAACCCCTCCTTTTAACCATAACTGGTTTTGGCTCCTGGAGGGCAGAGTCCTTGTGTTACCCACCTCTGTACTCCCCACACACTGCTTTGTGTGTATTGACTTATTTGATTAGAATCCTCAGTACCAGGGTACGTGTGCTGTGTGCTGTTGTCAGTACTGTGGCGCCTCTCAGAAAGGCCAGGGTGGTTAGCAGGGCTTGATGGACATCTGGGGAGGGAGCTGGGCTATAGGATGGCCAAGAGTGCCAGATTCAGAAATGTGCACCTGGGTACTTTGGGTTCACGTGGCACTAATATTTAGGAGGTGACTGCTCAGGGCATGTTCAGGAGCATGTTCAAATGGACTAATCTGGCAGGAAAGATAGGTGCAATATGGGTAAATAGTGGGAACTACAATTTGACCCCAGCTCAGGGAGAACTGGGGTTAGGCTGAGGACTCTGGAATTCCTGGCAGTATCAAACACTGAAGTTTTTTTTGAGTCAGGAAATGGCACAGAAATGGAATTTGGGCAAGAGTAAACAGTATGAAGCATGAAGAATGGATGATGAAGAGCTTGAACTCTTGGCCCTAAAATAAAGGCCCCGACTGGGAGGGAGGGGAGGAGAGGTTAGACTTTCATCTAAGATGGAACCTGGAATTCTTAGGAGGACAGTGGGCCTTACTGGATGCAGATACCTGGCCAGCCTTCACTATTTGCTGCAACTCAGCAAAGAGTGAGGCTGAGGGCATGCCCGAGAGGCCACGAAGAGACTGTGTGAAGGGAACACCCACTTGAGTGCCTCCTCTCTTATAGGAGATTGCATCCTACTTGATCACCTTTGAGAAGCACGATGAGTGGCTATCCTGTGCCCCAAAGACAAGGTGAGAAGGCAGAGAGTAGCAGGGGTCCCGGGTTCTGTGAACAGAACTCGAGACCAACCCTTCCCTCTGCAGGCCTCAGAATGGCTCCATTATCCTCTACAACCGCAAGAAGGTGAAATACCGGAAGGATGGTTACCTCTGGAAGAAGCGGAAGGATGGGAAGACCACCCGAGAGGATCACATGAAGCTGAAGGTCCAGGGCATGGAGGTAAGCGCTGCAACCAGCTAATCTGCCCTGGCCTACCCTTCTCCACGCTTAGCTGGGTTCCAGCCCTTCCAGGACGTGGTGGCATCATCTGCCTACCACCCTCCCAGTCACTCTTCCCTTCTCACTCACCTTGGATCAGCTGATTGGTGGCTTAGCCCACTCTCCACTTCCCATTTCCCCCATGACCCAACTGTCCAGGCCTTAGGCCATGCCTTCCCCTCGGGGACACCCATGCTCAGTTCCCTCACCTCTCTTGTATTTCCCTCAGATCCAAGTACTAAACCTCTGAGCACAGGTCTCTCTTCCCCCAAATCATTGCCCTGAGCCCAGATACTTTCTTGCACTGCCCTCTGATTTCTTGGTAGCCTCAAACCTCAAATCCTGTCCTTGATGTAAGACCCTAGCCAATTTGCTTCTCCTGTCCCTAACCTATGACTCGGGTACTAGGATTTGAAAGGTGTGGGGAATAGATGAGGGTGGGTGAGGGTTGAAGAGGAACTGGTGGAAAGATTGGGATTCCTGCAAAGGGACTGAACAGAGGAAGAGTTGGGGAGCAGACTAGCCCTCCCCCCACCCCAGCCTGTCTCCTGGCAGTGTCTCTATGGCTGCTACGTTCACTCTTCCATCGTCCCCACATTCCATCGGCGCTGCTACTGGCTGCTCCAGGTAAGGACAGAAGAGCTCAGGAAGCCAGACTCTTCCTGACTCTTTGAGGGAGGTGGGGCCTGAAAGAATGAAGTGGAAGGATGACTAGGTTCTGAGTGGGAAAGGGATTCTGGGGAGAAGTAAGAGGGCGGTGGTCATGGAAAGAGCAGAACTTCGGGGTGAGGTTGGGGGATGCCCAGGAAGCAAGTATTAGGTAGCTGAGCCCTTGGACCTCAGGACCCCACGGCCCTCTGTGTGTGTACCCTTGTGCTCTCAGAACCCTGACATCGTCCTTGTGCACTACCTGAACGTCCCAGCCCTGGAGGATTGTGGAAAGGGCTGCAGCCCCATCTTTTGTTCCATCAGCAGCGACCGTCGAGAGTGGCTGAAGTGGTCCCGGGAGGAGCTGCTGGGACAGCTGAAGCCCATGTGTAAGCAGCAGGGCTGGGGGACGG